TTAGTATGATGAATTTTTTCTATTTTTGTATATTTTTGAAGACCTTTATCTCTCCTTCTATTATGATTGACTGGCTTTCTGGATAGAGGATACTTGGCTGCATATTTTTTCTGTTCATCACATTGAAGATTTCCTGCCATTCTTTTCTGGCCTGCCACGTTTCAGTAGATCTGCAGCTACTCTGATAGGTTTCCCTTTTTATGTGATGGCGCTTTTATCCATAGCTGTTTTCAGAATTCTCTTTGTCCTTATATTTTGCCAGTTTCCCCATGATATGTCATACACAAGATTGATTCAAGTTATGTCTGAGGGCAGTTCTCTGTGCCTCTTGGATTTCAATGTCTGTTTCCTTCCCCAGATTGCTGCAGTTCTCAGCAGTAATTTGTGCAAGTACCCCTTCAGCGCCTTTCTCTCTCTTTTTCTCTTCTCTCTCTTTATTATTCTGTTTGATTGTATCACTCAGTTCTCGAACTCTCCTTTTGTGCTCCTGGATCAGTTTATCTCTTTTTTTCTTGGCTTTCTCTTTTTCTATTATTGTGTCTTCTAATTAACCTATTCTCTCTGCCTCTTCAACCCGTGCATTGGACGACTCCATTTTGTTATGCATCTCTTTTATAGGTTTTTAAATTCATCACAATAATTTTTAAGCTTTATAGCCTTTGTAACAATAGCTTCTCTTATGTCTTCCATGCCTTTTTCAAGCCCATTGATTTATTTATGACTATTGATTTAAATTATTGTTCAGTTATGTCGCTTATCTCTGTTTTCTGCAATCATTTAGCCATCACTTCTTCCCAGAATTTCTTTAGAGGTGAGTTATTCCGTTTGTCATTTTGACTAGCTTTCTTCCTCTTGTCAGTTTTTTTATAATGTTTTTTTTTTTTTTAATTTCTGAGAGAGAGAGACAGCACGAGCACGGGAGGGCCAGAGAGGGAGGGAGACACAGAATCATAAATGGCTCCAGGCTCTGAGCTGGCAGCTTAGAGCCCTACGTGGGGCTTGAACCCATGAACCGTGAAATCATGACCTGAGCCGAAGTCGGACACTTAACTGATGAGCCACCCAGATGCCCCTTTCTTGTCAGTTTTAAAAGATTATTATGTACTCTCTACCTGAGAGTTCTGTTATCTTAAAGGAGGCTTATTGACTGTCCACAGCCTTTCTGTTCATGTATTTCTTTTAATGGTGTCTCTTGGTGTCTCCTTTTGGGACTTTAGTTATTTTATTTCTGTACTCGTAGGGTTATTTTGTTTCTGTACTCATACTCTCTACTCTGTGTACTTTGGCTTGTTTCTTGAGGTTGTCCTGGAAAAGAACACAGACAGACAAACAGGGAGGAAAACACTCACATGAACAAACAAATCAAACCAGCAAACGAAAGGAAAAAAGGAAAAACAAAACAAAACAAACAAAAATACCACAAAAAACAAACAACAAAAATAGCAAAAGACAAAGGACAGCCTAAAAGCATAAAACCAGAAATCTCATCTACAAATGACGAGTAGTGAGTGTGTTGAGGGAGAAGCATATACAAAGAGAGAAATAACAAGTGTGTGAAGAAAGAGAAGTTGAATGTTGACTAGGCAGAGAGACTAAAAGGCTTATTTCAGATAAAGAGAAAGGAGACTACTGCAGGAGGTAAAAATAAAAGAAAAGAAAGAAAAAAAGAAGGAGAAAAAAATGAAAATAATGTTACCCAGAGAAACTATATATTCTGATTATTTCAGAGAGAGAGAAAGGTAGGTAATGATGGAGATAGAACATGCATCAAGCGAATGGATTCTATATGCCTGTTTCAGCGAAACTATATCCAGAAAACCGGGTCCAGAGGAAGGGAGAAAAATGGACCAGATAAAGGAAAATATTTGTCTGAATAGCAACAATTGATCTCAAGTTAATCCAGCAATGCGTCAGTGTTGCTCTTGGGGGAGGGCTGCTTCCATATCCAGGTTCAGGTAACCAAGCAGCTGTGTAGTGCAGATGGGCATGGTTTGGTGCAAGCAGGTCTCGTCTCCACTATGCTCCCTCGGCCCTGCCTCAGTGGTTGTGGGGAGAAAAATGGCAACCCCACTGTCCACTCTCAAACCAGGCGTTGCAAAGCACTCTTTTGGGTCCGATTTCACTGTGCTGTGGACGTGGCCAAGGTGGGCCGTGTTTTATGTCCCATGTCCAGCCTCGTTTCCAAATCTTACTCAGTTTGCAATAATAATATGCCTGGGAGTATAATCCTGCAAGCCCAGGTGATTTCTACTAGGGGATCGGAGGATCGACTATGGGGCTGGCTCCTCTTGAATCTGACCGCGACTGCGATCCCCCTGCACAAGCCGAAAGAAATCTCCGTGACTATAAGCGGGCTTTCTCTCTGAAAGACTTGCAGCTAGAGATGGAGTGATACAATTCCTCTCTGTCTCAGCCATGCTTTTTTCCTCCCTTCCAGGGACTGTTCTAAGATTCCCCAGCTATTTTATTTTCTTATTTTTGTCTCTCCGCAGATGCGACTCCCTCCCCTCCTTGCCTCCATGTCCCAGCTAGTTTTTGTCTTCCTGAGTTCACAATCATGCACCTATGAAGCTGTCTTTTTAGTGGACTCTGTCTCCTTTCCTCCCAGCTTCTTGCGTTCAGAGTTTTTTGGCCTCAACCCTTCTTTGTTTGAAAGATGCAGACAGAATATAGCAAACTCCTGACTTCTCCGCCATCTTGCCCTCTCTTTAATCACCTTAATCTCTGAATGGCTCTCTTAATGGTTTGGGGAACTAAGTTTTAGACTTGGAGAATGTGACCGTTAAGAAATACCTTTGATCCCTCAGGCAATTCCTACATGGCAATGAGAAACAATGAAATCTGGCCATGTGTAGCGACATGGATGGACCTTGAGGGTGTTATGCTGAGCGAAATAAGTCAGGCAGAGAAGGACAAATACCATATGTTTGCNTATAGGAGGATTAGGAGGAACTTGACGGAGGACCAAGGGGGAGAAGAAGGGCGGAAATGGTGGGGGAAAGGGAGAGAGGCAAACCATGAGAGACTCTTGAATGCTGACAAAAACTGAGGACTGATGGATGTGGGGGGGAGGGGGGGATGGGCATGAAGGAGGGCACTTTGGGGATGAGCACTGAGTGTTATGTAAAAACTAATTTGACAATAAACTATTTGTAAAAAAAAAAAAAAAAAAAAAAAAGAAATACCTTTGAAATTATATAGTGCATAATTTCCCAAGTGAGTCAGAGGAAGTATGCAGAAGCAGAATGGACAGTAGAGACTGTACTAGTTCTAGCAAATACAAAGCCCATTTTTCCTTATTGAATCTAGAGACCTTTAAGAGAAGTCTAAAGAGTTGATATTGCACCCTTGTAGTTAATGGTATTCATTATATAAATACCGTCTTATAATTTAGGCTTCTATGTAGTTCTTAGGTGTATCTAATGTTGCTTTACACGTTGTAGATGGAAGATTCATTATATTTACTAAAATAATTCAGAGTTCATACCACATTAGGTATTAGAGTATAGGAAGAAAATCTCTGCTGTATAGAAGAGAATGTAGGTATTCAGTTCTTAGCACTAGATGTATACACACAAGAACTATGGCTAATATGTTGATTTGCTTAATTCCTACAATAGCTTTATGAATTGCTTGGCTATTACCATCACCCTTATGTTAGAGAAGATAGAAGCACAGAGAAGGTCAAGAGACTTGTCCACAATTCCAGAGCTAGTGAGTATAAAACCAGAATTTAGGGGCAGGAAGACCATTCCAGGATTCATTGTCTTAGTCAGTACTATGGAACACCAGAGCTTTAGAGTCATGTGTTTGGCTTCGCATATTCAAGTTATGATCTTGGTTATATTTCCTCATTTGCAATCACTCCTGTAGCCAAAGCCACAATAGCAGAAAGTCTAGCATCTACCTCTTGGAGAATTTTCCTTTTCCAAAAATGGTTTAAATCCCTAGGAGTGAAGAGAGTATCTCTTACTTCTAAATATGAGTAGTATATGAGAACCACCACTGCTTCTCAAAGCCTCTATGAGGTGCTACTTAACATGGACCTGAGATAGGGAAAAGCACAGCTGGTCACTTGTTTGTACCTGGCTGTTACAACCCTCGAAGAGACTGCCTTAGCATTTTTGGTTTTTTTTTAGAAAGAACGATGAGTTACCATCACTAAAAAACTTTGCCAAGAATGTGTTCTTTAGACAATCCAGACCTCAGGGGGCTATGCTCCAGTGCTATCTTGTGCATTTGTCCTACACTACCATTGTCAACTTTCAATTGTTTTGCTGTTGTTGTTTGGTTGGTTGGTTGGTTTTTTGGAAATAACTTAATTCAAAGGCCCCTTTCCTCTTGATTCTGGCCAAGAACCAAGAGGGAGGTTTAATGGGAGATATGATTTTCATAGCTACTTGTGGTTGCTTTGTGCCTCTGTGTGAGCAACTTCCACCAAGCCTGATGTTGGCCTTAAAAGATTCACCGTGGCTCATTAATTCAAGAACACTACATCTTTTGGTGCTCTATAAAATAAACCGTGATATTTCCAATGTTTAATAATATCCTGGCTGTGTTGGGGAAATTAGGGGGATCTCCAGCAAGAGGCTTTCATACAGGATTTCAAAAGGTAATTTTCCGGGGGTCTGGGTGACATCCAGATACGGCTAAGGTCATGATCTCAAGTTTTTGGTTAGAGCCCTGCATCGGGCTCTGTGCTGGTGGCTCAGAGCCATGATCCTGGATCTTGGAGCTTGCTTCTGATTCTGTGTCTCCCTCTCTTTCTCTGCCCCTTCCCCACTCATGCTCTATCTCTCAAGAATGAATACATGTTAACAGAATTTTTAAAAAATCGAAAGGTAACTTTGACTATTCAAGTTGAAGCATCAACCTGGGATTAGAAGAAATCTGAGAGTCTGCTGATTCCCAAGATGGGCACAGGATGAGGTAAGGAAGGAAACTGTTCTATAGATAAACACATGTCTCTTAAGCCTCTATCAATTCTCTGTCATTTATAGGATATCTTCAGAGCCATGCACCAGGACCTTGACCTCGTAAAATTGTATCTTAAGCCACTGCTTATTGGAGAGCTTTCCCCGGAAGAGCCCAGCCAGGAGAGAAACAAAAGCGTGAGTGAGGTCTCAGGACTCAGGAACATGTGGAGGGATGTGGACAAGAGCCAGTTGATCATTTCCTCACATACCCAGGAATTGATCATTTTCTGTGAGAAACTTGCCATTATGCCTGGGGGAGCCTGTAATAGCAAAAATGAGTAGATTTTGCATATTTCAGAACAATGTCACCCTCCTTCGATACTCAGCGTTTTAAAATCTCTGTGTAAGAAAGGAAGGAAAAGTTTGGTCTTGCTCCAAATAGAATCCCCATGTCTCTAGTACCTCCTTACGCCAGGAAACATCCAGATACAATTTTTCGCCCAGTGACTGCTTGTAACTGATGTCTGTGTATGTGTTTTCTGCTCAAGTATGTTCCGTGAAAACAAGGAATATGTATATTTTTCTTATCTCTGTGTCCTCAAGAACCCACCTGCAGAGGATTAAGCATGTAGTAGGGACTCCATAAATAGCTCTTGAATGAAAGGTGTGATACCCCAACAGTATCCTTTTTTTACATTTGCTGAAATTATAGTTCAAGGAGAAATAATAACTTTCTGAAAGTCTCATAGGTAGTGTAGCAAAGAATGGGATTCCAAGTCTTTCTTTCTGGACCCAATCCCTTAGGTATTCCCAAGGAAGGGTGCCACTCTTTCTTTCTATAATACTTGGCTACCTGAAATACCGCCTTCCAAAGTTCACTGTCTGTTTAAGATTAGACATTCACTACGATGATTTTGCATAAAGCTTAAAGGGATTTTATCTAATAGTGAGCATTTCTTTTTTTGTAATTTTTAAAAAACTGCTTACATCCCGTGCAATTCTTCCAAAACAATTTGTACCTAGTGCTGTCCCATGTATCATTGTCCCATGTATTCTATCCATGGGGATGGATAGAATAAGGATTCTATTTCTGCTTCAAGAGATGAGGAAACCACCTTGTCAAGGGACAGGCAGTATCTGAGGACACAGAACTGGTTTTGTGTAGAACTCAGACACTTAGCCTCACCGCTCAGATCCATGTGCATCCCACACAGCTGGGTGTCAGGAAGCAGAGCTCTAAATTTGGCAATGAGGGCTCCAAGGGCTCATAGCTTAGATTCATAGCCCAGCCCTGCCACCGTTTGTATGGGTTCAGGCCAGTCCCCAAACCTCCCCATGGCTTAGTTTCTCTCTCCGTAAAATAGCAACAACAGTAGCACAACCTCCTAGGAGATATTGAGGGATTCTTGAAAGAGTTAAAGGCACTTCAAGTGCTTAGGAGAGTGGAATGTAGTAAATGCTTAATAATGTTGAGATACTATCATTATCATGAACTCAGCTGTGGCACCAGAAATTCACACACCTCCCGATATGTCCCCATCATTTACGGTAGGAGGGTATATAGATTAAAAAAAAAAAAAAAAAGAAGGTGATGCAAAGCTTGTTTTTCGTAAAATTTTCTTGAAGGAAAAGAAAAATCCCTAATGGCTGAGAATTATAAGGCAATCACTCATATCTAAAATAATATTGGACTTTGGACTTTGGGCTAAAGGTTTGCTGTGTATTTTGTTTAATCCATGTGTGGATACTCAGGTGTGTGTGTGTGTGTGTGTGTGTGTGTGTAAATACATAATACTCAGTTATATGTAAATACATAATTAGTTTGAGCATGACACTTATGTAAGGAAGCATGGGTTGAAGTCGTGTCTGTCAATGACTTGTTGATGATTTAAACCAGTTGCTCTTTTGGACTTGCTGACCACTTACTCTGTACAACAAATGAGTTGGAAAAGATGGTCAGGTTGGTAGGCACTCTAGAAATTGCCTCTTAAACTAATCCAGGGCCACCGACATTCCAAAGTTGATGGGGGCTTGAGAGATGACCCCAGGCAGAAGATCTTTTAAAACTTGGACTTATGAATTTTGCGATGAAAATTTTGCAGTTAGAATTTTGTTCATAGTTCTTTCTTTTTATACTGGAAATTTCTCTCCTTTTCTGTATCTTAACCATCTTGCTCTAGTTCTTACACCTTGATCATTGTGTCATGTGTCCTGGGTTCAAACTCATCAGTCACTAAGCTGAGAAATATTCCTTCCCAGGCCTTGCACTGACTCTCCAGGTCATTGGCAAGCTTGTAAACCAATGCTAGCCTTGCATGTGCACACACATGCACACATGCATGTTACAGAGACACTGGACCAGATAACCGCCCCCCCCCATGCACACACATACACATCAGCAGACATTCACTAATGCCACCAGAAAGCCTACCTTTTCTAGGAATCCATCAAGTAGCTCATAAGAAAGTCACCCTTTGAGCTCATCTAAGTTAACTATATTTTTCTATGCTCATTATCTTTAATGAAAGGACTCTTTGCACATATTGAACTGTGCTGATGTAGAAAATTCTATACCACTAAGTAGTGTAACACAGGTCCATGTAGACAACACAGTTCCCCGAGGCATAATTGATCAATCAACCTGAACCAATACTGATGATTTAAAAGGCAACTGTTAGACACAATAATCTCCCAGACACCCCAAACCCCACTGTTTCCGAGTTCCAAAACAGTTTAGGAACCGTTTACAAATCATTAGTCATCTTTCTCTTCTCCTGAAAAAAATATTATCATAACCTTTTTAAAAGGTTTTGTGTGTTCATGGTTTTTATGTTTTTAATTTTGCCCAATCAATACCCTTACATTTGTATTCATAAAATTAAGGTAATTAAATTTTAATGAAAAGTAATAAAAAGGTAATAAAAAATAATAAAAGAGATTATTAATTGTGTTCATTTGTGTTCCCTTGCGGGAACTAATTCTTTCCGTGAATATTTATTTCTCAGCCCCAGTTGGTGGAAGATTTCCAAGAACTGTGGAGAACACTAGAGGCCATGAACATGTTCAGTGTCAACCCGGTGTTCTTCTTCCTTCTCTTCACCCAGATCTTGATTTTAGAAACCCTGGCTTGGCTAATGGTGTGGCATTTTGGCAGCGGCTGGCTTGTGACAGTATTCATTTCTCTCCTTCTCGCAATTTCCCAGGTAAGCAACTGTTCTCAACCCAGGCATTGGCTTTACGGGGAGGTTCAGGGTGTCTTCTTCTCCGTGTAGACCAGTGCCAGCTGCTGCCTGACACTTCCTGGCAAGCTACCAATCAGTGTCTGGCACCAGCAAGTTACCACACCTTGCTAGACCCAGACTCTGGTCTGTAGAATGGGGGAAACAATTTTTTATGGAAATATTCTCTACCAAACAAGTTAATGTGTAAAACACCTAGCACAGTGACTGGCACATAGGAAGTATATAATTTATGACAGATGCTAATCTTTGCCCAATTTTATCCATACCAGTTCAGTAACTGAAGTCATTTCTCAGCCATGTAACTCTCGTCTTTTTCTTTTATTCATCTTCCCAATCAATAAGAAGAAAGAGAGGCAAACCAAGAAACAGAATCTTAACTGTAGAGAACAAATTGACAGTTACCAGGGAAGAGGTGGGTAGGAAATGGATAAAATAGGTGATGGCGGTTAAGGAGGGAGCTTGCCATGATGAGCACCAGGGGTTGTATGGAAATGTGGAATCACTATAGTGTACACCTGAAACTAATATTACATTGCATGTTAAGTAACTGGAGTTTAAATAAAAACTTAAAAAAAAACATATGGATTCCACCATAAATGATCATCAACAACTGGCACATAACAGAACATTGGATAAATCCTTCTTGAATGAAGTGTGAATCTCTAAACATGGCTTTCTGTGAGCACAACGCTGTGTTGTGGATACCAAAAGAAATGCACCTGGTTCCTGCCCTTGGGAAAAGGGTCTTCCACTGTTGGAGATGGATGTTCAAACTTGTAAACATACTATGTGACAGAATGACATTGATATCAAAGAGAGGAATCAGCATGTGTTGTTGAAGCAGAAAGAGGCAATTAATTCTCATTGGAATAATTGGAGAAGTTTTTATGGAAAATTAACATCAATGTTAATTCCAGAATTTTATGTTAATTTTCTTCTTGAAAAGTCAACTTACTTTATTCCTTGAAAAACAATTCTTTTGGAAACTGGAAAGGAAAGAAACGTTTGTTTAATGCTTAGCATAAGCCAAGCGCTTTGTAGGTATTTAAGTTGTCCAATAGTCCATGAGTAAAGTATGATTATCTCTACTTATCAGACAAAGAGCTGGGGTTCAGAGGTACATTGACTAACTTGCCAGGATCTGTGCAATACATACAGGTAAAGAATGGTTTAGAACCCAAATCTGCCTGACTCCAAAGGCCATACTCTTTCTACTCCTCACTGGAGGGTTTTGCTAGTGTCAAGGAAAGTGTTCTAGGATCAGAGAATAGTGCAATCAGAGAACCCCATGTACAAAGGTACACAAGTGTGAAATAATAGAAAGTGAACTTGGCTTGGGATCAGATGAGATCCCCCACCATTCTTCTCCAATGGGCCCTGGAATCTATGAATGGGCTCATATATTAATTTCCTCTTGACTCCTCAACTTCTCTAACAACAATTTCATCTCTTCTAGGTTCAATGTTTCTTTCTGCAGCATGACTTTGGACACCTTTGCGTGTTTACTAAGTCCAAGTGGAACCACCTGATGCAAAAAATTGTGATGAGTCATTTCAAGGTACAGGAGGTTCATGGAGCATGATGGGATTCTCAAACATCATTTCATTTTTTAATCTTTATTTATTTTTGAGAGAAAGAGAGAATGAGCAGGGGAGAGGCAGTGTGAGAGGAAGACACAGACTCTGAAGCAGGCTTTGGGCCATAAGCTGTCAGCACAGAGCCTGATGCGGGGCTCGAACTCATGAACCGCGAGATCACAACCTGAGTGTAAGTCGGACGCTTAGCTTACTGAGCCACCCAGGCGCCCTTCAAACATCATGTCTTAAGGCAACGGTTAACAAGTTGGTTTGTGCACTCATATTAATAGAAAAATGTTTGTGTACAAATAGTTGGGCAAATAAATGTCAAAATGCTAAAAATGTAGAAACTGTATGTATATATACTCTATATACACATATATACTAATATGTAACATAACTTTAAATATATATGATATGATAAACTTTAAACATATATATGATATGATAGGATTTGAAATTTTTATGAGAAAAGGCTTACTTTTATTTAGGAAATTCCAAATTTCTGGAACCCCAATGAACTCTTTGGCCCAGGCCCTGGTACTCCATTAAGAAACGACCTCACAGGAGAAGAATTGTGCTTTTATAAATGAAGATGTGTTCTGTAAAATCTAAATAGGAATGTTTGTAGAAGGGGTCTGAACATTTAGTGCTGGGAACCTACTGGAAGTCAACAAGGCTGATTAGTCTTGGAAGGATAAGGTTATGAAGAAGTAAAGGGAAGGATGCGGGATAAAAAAAAAGTGAAGAGAAAGAAAGAGAAAGAGTGGACAAGGTCAGGTGGCACTGTTCAAGTGTCACGGGTTGCAAATCCCAGTAGTCTACTGGAAAAAGCAGTGGTGATGATGGCAGTTGGTCATGTACCCCCCAGCCAAACTCCAGAAAGGCAGGTGCTTTGTCCTATGTGCCACTGCAGTGCAGTGTCTAGTGGAGTGTTTATCACATCATAGGCCTTCAATAGCATTTATTGAGTAGATGGATGGATACATGGACAGGTGAGCCAAGGTAATGGCACAAGACTGCTAAGGGCTGGATTTAGCTCTGACTCTGATGGGACTCCTTGTGTGATCTTGAATGAAATATATTTTTTAAAAAAATTATTTATTTATTTCTGAGAGAGAGAGAGAGAGAGAGAGAGAGAGAGACAGCATGAGCAGGGGAGGGTCCGAGAGAGAGGGACACAGAATCTGAAGCAGGCTCCAGGCTCTGAGCCGGCTGTCAGCACAGCGCCCATCATGGGGCTTGAACCCACGAACTGTGAGATCATGACCTGAGCCAAAATTGGACGCTTAACTGACTGAGCCACCCAGGCGCCCCAAATGAATCATATTCTATCTCTGGTTCTCAGTATTCTCATCTCAAACATTAACAGCTAAACTGGATGTCTGTTTTTCTATGACATTCTAGGATTTAGTGACTCTGTAGTATGGTCCACATGGTGGGAAATGCTTCTGAGCTTTCCACTAAGTCAAATCATGCATTCAAGCCAGCCCATTTTGGGAAAACTCATAAGCACTGACTCAGAGCTTATTTGTTTTGCTTTAACACAGTGGTTTTATATTGAACTGGAAGATACTTAAATTCACAGTCTTAACAACCCTCTTTCCAGCTGAGCAAACTAAGTCTAAGTAGAATAAGTAATACAAAGCTGGACCTCGATTCATATTAGAATTGTCTGTTAATGAAAATGGAATGAATAACACATTGTCATTTTATGTGATAAGTTTCATGTAACTGGAATATTCCTGTAGGTACACACTTCTGTACTGTGTCCACTAGCGCTAGATGGACAAATTGTGTTTGTATCCACTCAGAAATCTTCGATAGAATAAAAGCAAAGACAGTTTCTTATGTCCTGGTGAGAATTAAGGTAATGGACCTGCCCACTCTCCCAACCGTATTTTGAGGAACTCAGAGGAAAAGGAGACTCATGTGTCCTGGAGGTAACTGCTGTTTGACTTGGTGCCAGTAGATGTCATATTTCAAGCTCCACCCTTGCTGGTGCCTTAAAAAATCACTGCTTTCCCATTTGTTCAAATTTGTACACAGCTCTCTTTCTATAAATTGTGTTGCCAGAAACAGTTTTACACGAGTTGAAATGAATATAACCTGATGCCTCATGAATAGAATAAATGGGTAGTGCTCTGAAAGTAAATCGAGAATACTCTGCATTTCCAGGCAAAAGCAGGGATTTGTGAGCAAAATGAATATGGGCTTCAGTCATGTGCAGCAGAGAGAACTAGCTGTAGGAAGGAAAAGTGGGTGAGAGGGAGATAACAAGGGAGACTATAATAGAAGCAGCAACATCACCTTCTACATACATCATAATTTTAAATTTCAAGACTTGATGTCACGCCAATTTACTCTCCCCTGTGGAAAAGCACAGATATTAAGATTTTTTTGGAAGTTTCATTCACTACATGTGCTAGTAAGTATGTATATCTGGCCTTTGCAGTGTTTGCACAATAAAAGAGCCCTCCTGCAAGCACATCATGAAATATCTGCACATATTTCAGATTTCTGTGCAATATTCAAATCGAAAAGGACTCGCTGTAGCCTATTTTTCAACTCCCCTTCCCCAACACCCAGCATGCACAGTTTGAAAACTATAAGAATCAAGTATTAGTATAGGGACAAAGACATAGAATATTTGATATTAAGGTCTGCCTTGAAAATCTGGCCTATCCTGTTTCCATGACTGCAACCTAAAATAATTTAGGGGAGAGGAGTGTCAAGCATGTTACTTCAGGTAACCTTTTTCTCATCCATTCCACGGAGGAGGAAACTGCCTAAGGCCACACATACCTAGTAGCAGGATTTGAATTCAGGCCAAAAAATGGCTTTCAACCAAAGCTTAGATTCCTTATATTGCACCAAGAAAGGACTTAGCTTGGAAATGAAGAATGACTTACGGAGGTTAGTTCATATATGCAATTTATGCAGCTGATAATCTTCACTTGCCTCTTGCCTCCAGGGCAATTGTTGCTTCCAGACCAAAAGGCGTGAGTGGAGCCAGCTGCTTTAGATCACACCCACAATTACTCTGACCACTGTTCTAAGTTCCAGGACCTTGAGCTGTCAAGATCTGCTCCCTGACATATCATGAATGGAACCTGTCTCTCCTATTACCTATTTCCACAGATAACTGTTGATTGAGAGGCTACAGTCAAAATGCTGTCTCCTAAAGGATTTATTTATCAAAGTGAATCATTGCCTATCACAGTGTCCTTTTTTCTGTATTGCTCCCATTAGGTTATACATTTCATAAGTATGGGAACCCCATTTTATCTTGTCTAACTTTATATTTCAAATGCTGGCTCTGTGTCTGACACATGGGATGCACTTCAAAATAAATGACGAAAAGAGCAAGTGCACAATTGTGAGTGGGTGGTAGCAGTTTGGTGGGAGAAGAGCAGAGTGTCATGGAGACCCTGTAAGGGGAATAAAAGTTGATGAGTGCATGTTCAGTTTGACATATCATGACACACCCACAGAGAAATTTTTAGAATGTGATTTCCCATTCTATCTTTTATTAGTTTTTTTTTTTTTTAAAATACATTTACTTATTTTTGAGAGACAGAGAGAGAAGGAGCACAATGAGGGGAGGAACAGAGAGAGAATGAGTCAGAGAATCTGAAGCAGGCTCCAGGCTCTGAACTGAGAGCACAGAGACTGACTCGGGGCTTGAACTCACAAACCGTGAGATCATGACCTGCGCAAAGATGATGACCTGAGCTGAGGTCGGAAGCTTAACCTATTGAGCCACCCAGGCATCCTGAAAATGATTTCCCTTTCAAGCATGAGAAAGGAAACTGAATATCTCAGTAGGCCAACTTTTTACATACATCATCTCATGTCTCCCCAGACACCCCATGAAGGTAAATTTCATTATACCACTTTTACTGAAGATGGAATAGGACCTCAAAGAGGGTGAAATTTACCCAAACCACACAGCAGTGTTTATACATCCAGCATATGAAGCCACATTGATGTGCTTCCAAACCCAGCTCTATTGAGACCTTCACACTGACATTGTGAGAGATAAAAATCACCCGCAACCTAACTACAGAGGATTTGAGTTCAGCATCATTTAACATATTTTTATTCTCAGGGATTTTATATGAGATCATAGAAGCCTGAACATGCAATATTCTGAGCCAAGACCCTTGAGAGATCATTTCAGATTCATGATTCTTTGAAATACTGATTAAAGCAGGCCTCCCAGGACCATTTTTCCCCCCAGAGCTACTTAAAGATTTAGAGCTGAGTTTTCTTTATTTGTAAAATAAGAATATTCTCTGTCCTACTTATTTTAAGAAATTTTTTAAATGAGGGACCCCCCCCCAAAAAAAAGAAGAATGGAAAAACATTACATTTCACAGGTTTTTGTGAATTGTCATGATCAGGAATTAGTCTGAATTTGTGTTCCTGAATTGCATAATTATTTGTTCATAGATTTGGAAAGTCTCTGCCCAATAAGCCATTCTGTGACCCATCAGTCTGGGGGGCAAGTTCCAGAAGCTCGGATATCTTACTTTGACTTTGGAGATGCATACAAAAAACTCTGAGAGTGAAGGACATTTCAGGAGAAACACCTTGCAGCTAATGGAACCTCTCTTCTCCTCAGGGCTTGTCAACCTCCTGGTGGAATTACCGACACTCGCAACATCACGTAAAAACAAACATCTACCCCAAAGACCCAGATGTTGATACGGGTGCACTTTTCGTGCTTGGAGAATTGCAACCTGTCAAGGTATGTTTAGAATTCATGAGCACATGAGAAATGTTCCCAGAAGTGGTTCCTGGAAATGTCTATGGTCTTGTCCCAGAAAGATTGAGTTGGGGGCTCCCACTTCAAGCACCTTCTCAGAGCGGGTCTCCTTCTTTTAAGTCCAGGATGTAGATGTGGAATAATTGAATTTGGGGCTGTATGGATATAAGTAGGTGTGGAGCACGTGATTCTATGGCCTTAAAGGACATGACACAAACCTCATATAGCAAAAGGTATGATAACATGTGTATCACCTGGCTAGAGCAATTCTGGTGACAGACAGGTCCTTGCCCAGTGGCCGTCACCACCCTTGAGGCAACACAAGCTAGTGTTAGGTAGTGAAACCAGATTGGCAATGACTCTCCAAAGCTTATTCCTTCAGAGAACACATACCAGTATATCCAATAAGTACTAAGTAATAAATATCTGAGTAACTAGTTATCTCAACTAATTTTAGCTCAGTGAGAAAAGGCTGTGCTGGTATTCTGAGTTCATGTTCACTTGGTTCATTTATACATGAACCACAGCCCAAATGCTTTGTATGACACTTGGAGATGTCACCCCTTATTTGGATTTGTTAAACAATAGAAACGGAGAGTCGACTCCAGAATTTCTCAGTTGTTGATTTTTTTTAACCTCAACTTAAAATCATTATGTAAAGGACTATTCCCAAAATTTTAAGGAGAAAATCTTACTTCAAAAAAGGACGTACAAGGATAACTACAGAAAGATCCCCTCCCCCGGAGAAATGATAGGTCCTGAGTCAGGTGCTTAGAAAAAGGCTGCCATTTTCTGAAACAATTTAGGAGTTTTATTAAAAATAAGCATGTAGCTCTGTCAGTTGCTGCCTGAACTTTGTGCTACAGAAACCAAAAACTGTGCAACTTTTTGTAAATAAGTTTTCCTAGTTTCAGAAGACTGAACCTTCTTCTCCAGCTAAATTAGGAAACAATCTCTTGACTAGATTAAAAAAGAATCTCTGGCTGTGATTACAAATCAGTTGCTTTTGACAACGGCTCCACAAATAAGTTGGACCTCTCTGATGTTTGTGGACTCCTATGCTCATCAACAAAAGTATGAGCATGACGCTTTGAATTTTTTAGTCACCCCCACAGAGCGAGAAGGATTTGTCTGACTGAATTTTATGAAGCAGGCTGACCGTACCCAGAAGGACCTCTTTAAGGCTATGTTCAATATACATGCTGCCTCTTTACAAATGATACATTTTATAGCAGATTTTGGGACATGTCCCTAGGCCTTAGGGTTCTGTGTAATATGGTTTCAGAGCCACTGTCTGAGACAATGCTTGAAATTATTTAAACTTTAAAATTCAGTTGTTTTACATTACAAAAATGGTTCTAGTGAATCCTGAACTTTTTCTTCCATCTCACTTTGTTGCCAGTCTTTCTACCATTTTCTTCAAACACTCTACATGCCACGTCGTGGGCTCATGTTCTGGAAGACTTAGAGCCCTCCTTTGGAGTGATACTCAAAATCAGTCCTCCGTCTAAGTGTGTTAGCTCCCAGAAACTTCCACCTGCTCTTTTTTCCCATGTTTTCCACTACTTACATATCTGGAGCTTTGAGAGTAATTGCAAAGAGCTCTTTTAACATTATCAGCATGCTATTTCTTTTTATCTATGACACTAAGAGAAGGAAAGGTCAACCTTACTATCCAAATATGAAAAGAAGACTATCTGTAGGAAGGGAGGTATCAACAAAATGGAGGAGAGCAGATATCAAGCACTGCCCCTAGTGTTGTGACCAAGTGAACATACAGTAAAAATGTAGAGCAGAGGTAAATTTTCATTTTCATTCATTCAACTAAACAGTTACTGTATGTTTACTACGTACTGAAGATATAACCATTACCTCTATGGCTCCCCTCAAGATGTTTGCTGTCCTTATGCACTGAGCACATATTAAAGTAACTAAAGAGATTCCTAGAAAATTAATCAAATTCCCAGCATTTCAATTTTATGTAATATCATTACACCTTAGAAATAATACATCACAGTGTGAGATCCAAGATGAGAACACACAGAAGGAAAGATGGGACAGATAAGAGGGGCCATGCCTATATCTTTTATCACATGAACATTTGATAAAAATCTGTTGAATGAATGAATGGAGATGGAAACTAGCTTCAAGCAGAATTCTAAACACGATAGTTAAAAGGAGCTAGGAAAACGTATGAGAAACGTATGAGAAACATTTTGATCACCACTTCACTGCATAGAAGGCAAAATGTTTTAAAATAGCTTCTATAGGATTTTAAAAAATCACAACCCCCATAGTCAAATGCAAAAATTACCCACATTTAATTAACGCAGAAAGATGCTGCAATATTTCCTCTTATTCCAATTGTTGTCCTAGTGTCTCAAGTTTGACAGCCAACAAATTCTGATCATATGACCCTTTCTATAGAAGTTTTAAATACACACACACACACACACACACAGAGCAATATTGTTGAGTATGACGATAACAAGTATTATCTCTTATTTTAGCTTTATGCTCTCTCCTTTCAGTTTGGCAAGAAGAAAATCATGTACATCAACTATGAAAAGCAGCACCTGTATTTCTACATGGGTGAGTCTCCTTGGAGCTATTTTCCCTAACACTCATATACTTGAAGCAAGCCAGACGGCACAACAGCAATGGTCTCACAGAGAGACCGGTCCATGTTTTATTGTGACTTGGAAAAGCAGCATGCCTTATTTTGGACTTCCTGGCACAAAAATCTGAAAAACATAGAGGAAAAGCAAATAGGGATTTTTAATGGCCTGGTAGATGCTCCAAGAAGGTTGGAAGTCAAGATGCCATTCAAGGGGTGTTGTATTGGGGACTCTCATCCAAGAACAACTAAACACCTGCTAAGAAGAAAAAAATTAGTGGTATTTGGATAGGGAAGAAAGAGAGAGAGGAAACATTGACATTATGAAATCAGAAAACTTAGTGGCTCAGGTATAAAAAGGCATCTGTAGAGTGTGTGAGAAACAGAAAGCTGGTTGTTCCCATGACCTATATACATCTGCAGAAGATATCTAGGTGGATATATGTATACACACACACACACACACACATACGTACATATGTACACATATATATAGTGAGAGAGAAAGAAAAAGGTATATATAAACATATAAAGCACATATATATGGTTTTTTTGGTTTGATTTGGTTTGGTTTGGGTTGGGTTGGGTTTTTTATTTTGTTTTGTTTTGTTTTGTTTTGTTTTAAGATAGTAACTGAAACTTCCCAAGCAACAAAATTTATTGATATTCTATTACACAGAGTCTAAAGTATCTTGATAATTTTTTTACAGAAAGCCACTATTTGAACAATCAACTGTAAAGATGTTTTAACACAAAGAAACTTTCCATTGTTCAAATTGTATTTTGTAAGATGAAGAGCATTTAATTTCTAAACTGGTGTCATTTATATCACACTCAGACTATAATGACTGTTTACACATAGAACTTTGTTCCATTTCTCAGTGGACAGTACAGTGGCAATTCTTTTCTTTTTTTAAGTTTATTTATTTATTTTTTAGAGACAGACAGAGAGAGAAAGCAGGAAAGTGGCAGAGAAAGAGGGAGCAAGAAAATCCAAAGCAGGCTCCATGCGTCAGTTCATAGCTGAACACGGGACTCGAACTCATGAATGGTGAGATCATGACTTGAGCCAAAACTGAGTCAGATGCTTAAGTGGCTGAGCCACCCAGGTGCTCCTACAGTGGCAATTATTTATTTTTTTTAAAATTTTTAGAATTTATTTATTTTTAAGAGAGAGTGAGACAGAGAGCTAACAGGGAAGGGGCAGAGAGAGAGGGAGACACAAAATCCAAAGCAGGCTACAGGCTCTGAGCTATCAGCACAAAGCCTGATGCAGGGCTTGAACTCATGAACTGTGAGATCATGACCTGAGCCGACTTTAGATGCCCAGCTGACTGAGCCACCCAGGTGCCTCTACAATGGCAATTCTAATCAATTTTTGAAGTTCAGCAATCCTCCAAATGTTTAAAAATTTACTTCATAACACAAGTCACATGGGGTGCCTGGTTGGCTCAGTTGGTTAAGCATCCAACTCTTATTTTCCGCTAAGGTCATGATCCCTGGGTCGTGAGATCAAGCCCTGAGTTAGGCTTTATGCTACATGTGGAGCCTGCTCAAGGGTCTCTCCCCGTCTCTCCTTGCCCTTCCTCTGCTCACTTTCTCTCTCGGTTTTTCTAAACAATAACAACAACAACACGACAAGCCACTGGAAATCTTTGATGATAGTTGCATCCAATATAAGTGAAAATCATATGTATGTACATAGATAGATAGATCTGAATCTATTACATATATGTATACACACACGTGTGTGTGTGTGTGTGTGTGTGTGTGTGTGTGTGTAATAGATCTGAATGTGGATTCAGGCTTGAAAGAAAATAGGAAAGCTAAATAATTCTGATAATGATAATATATCATAAGCAAAAATACTTTACTTTTAACCAATATTAAACCCATGACAGGTCACAAAGTGGGCTTTCATGGAACCCCAAAATATGCTCATTTAAAACAAGCTTACATGATTGAGAAATAAGACAAATCAGGTCAGGCCCCAAGCATTTCCTTTAGATCAGTGGTTCTCAACTAGAAACACATTTGTCTATGTGTCTATTGGGATATAGACAAAAATACCTACAGACATTTGTGGATAATACAATGGAGGGGAAAGGATGCTGTTGGCACCCAGCAGGTAGAAGCCAGTGGTTCTGTTAGACACCCTACAATATGCAAGACAGCTCCCCTAACAACAAGAAATTACCTGGCCCCAAATCCTACAGTTCTAGGTTTGAGAAACTGTTGCCAATTATCTGATTTGCTCAAATGCTGGGCCCCAGTATTCACCTGTAACATGCCTGACCAGGATGGCCTATGGGCCTTTTTCGGACGTAGGGGGGTCAGTCCCCACTGCTACCCCTTCTACTGCTGGAATTCTGCTACCTCACCTACTATAGTCACCCTCTCCTTCTCCTGCATGACCAAAAGAAGGAATGAGGACATTGGTGGCCTTTTTGAAAGGTAGCTGATCTCTTTTTTTGTGGGCACATCACTTTATTTCTTTGGTTTTCCTACTTAACTCTTGGACAATGTAAATTCAGTTACTCGCCTGCCTGGCCACTGCATGGTCCCCTCACTGACGGAGCACAGGCTCTGAGGAGAGGATCAACAAAAAAAAAGGGGTCCCCAAGAGCCAACCAGGCACGGCAAATGGGCCAAGCACCATGCTGAGCCTGGTACCCTCCCCATTTGGGGGCACCAGACAGAAGCCACCACAGACCTACTCCACATTTGATTTCTTTTTTTACAAATAGTTTATTGTCAAATTAGTTTCCACATAACACTCAGTGCTCATCCCCACAAGTGTCGTCCTCCATACCCATCCCCCCTCCCCCTCACATCCATCAGTCCTCAGTTTTTGTCAGCATTCAAGAGTCTCTCATGGTTTGCCTCTCTCCCTTTCCCCCACCATTTCCGCCCTTCTTCTCGCCCTTGTTCCTCCGTCAAGTTCCTCCTAATCCTCCTATACGTGCAAACATATGATATTTGTCCTTCTCTGCCTGACTTATTTCGCTCAGCATAACACCCTCAAGGTCCATCCATGTTGCTACACATGGCCAGATTTCATTGTTTCTCATTGCCATCCACATTTGATTTCTAATGTTCCTTTGGAAAACAGCTTTGAGTAAGGAGGGTGCCAACCCCAAAAAGAAACTGAAGACCTATATTCTGCTTAAGGGACAGCTCACTATGTTACAGTAATTCTTTTGCCCCAGGAAAATTTTCTTCACATAAAAAAAGGTTGTTGGAATTGCTTTTCTGAACTTTCTGTAGTGCTGTAATATGCCCTTAGCTCATGAGGAATGAATGAATGGTGTTGATTCACCACACGATGCCCAGCTCACATAACTCTCTGCCCTTGGGGCTGTTTCATTGTGTCTTTTCCCTTCAAATGCCAGCTTAGCATCTCAAGTACAAGTAAGTCATGTTCAAATTGTCAAAGAGAAATGGAGTTGGACAATTTTTTAAAGGTGACAGAGAGACTTTATTAAGACTTCCATAGTAGGAGAAATGGACTCCAGTATAAACTCAGCTCAATTCTGTGAACCAAAATGTAGGAGACCTTTTAAACACTGGGTGTGCTAAGGGAATTACCAAGAGACCTTGAAAGGAAGAAATGTTGGTCAGTGTGATTAAGCCATCTGGGTCTGCTGCCCGGTGCTTATGAAATTTAGGTTCCCACCACTATAAAGAGGATGGGAGACAGGTCCTCTCCTGGACAATTATATTCAAAGGAATGACTCCCAGGTCCTTGAGAAAGACATTTCTGGACCGTAGAAGATCCACCAGGAATAGAAGGAGAAACATTTTACAATTGCAAGTTTACTAACAGAAATACTCTAGGAAAAGGCAGGTCTGAGGCTGATGCTGAGGCTTGAAAAAACAGTAAATTCTTTTGGCAGTGTTTAACTTTCTCAGGAATAACTGTAAGGGGGAATGGGGTCATTCCAGAGGCTTGACCTTGAGATTTTAGAAACTATGTGCATGTTTGTTCAAGTATCTTATTGTGGGGAATGGACAAAATCATTTGTGCTAAGAGTTTGTAGAGTTTGAGATTCAGGAAGCCAATATTGAGTGGAGAAAGAGGGTTTGACTAAAGCCTGGTCAAGGACAGAGTCGTCAAAACTCAGAAGGATTCCAACACACTACTTTGAGCAGCTTCCCTGGTGCCAGGGAAGAAGCAGGTAAATAACCATCTGG